TAAAGAAAATCCGTATGCAAGTGAGCAATTCACAATTTACTTAATTATTACTTTTATTTTTTATGTTAATAACCTTACGTAAATCCATGAAGCTAATGCAAGGGTTATACTAACCACATAACCATCTGTACCTGTTAATTGCTACCCAACGTTATAATATACGCTGTAACTAATACCCAAATCGTTAATACTCACTTCCGGTAACACTTTGGGTGGCTGCAGATGGATGCCTCCGATCTGTATCATTTTGACTGGGAACGGTCGCGGCGATTCGGTGATGAAATGTGTATTGATAAACACCAACGATGGTTTGTGCCGGATGTCGGCCATGTCGTAGGGTCTCGGTTCTCGGTAAATCATTCGGACGTTGGTCAGCCATAGCACGATTTTGATGTACGCGAACAGCGCAACGTTGGTCAGCCGCTGCATGAAGCCGTCCATGACCGCTCCGTTGTACAGAAGATGTGGCACGTACGACGGGTTGGGCCCGGTGCCGAATAACATTGACTCCATGGCCGTGATCATCGACGAGGGGATCGCATAGATTTCAGGCACCCGCATCTTGTGCGCCAGGTACGACAGGCACGGTGAGTAAAACGGCTCAAGCAGAACTACGTCGTACCGTCCATCGGCACCGCGGTTTATTAGGTCTCTGATCGGTGCAAAGTCGTAGAAAGCGTCGCAAATGTCGCGCTCGTGGCTGCGCTCCGGCAACGGCGGCAGCAAGTTCATCGCCGATCCGAACTGCTCGATCATTTCCATTACGTCTGTCAATGGGTAGATAGGAAACACCCGCGACGCGTCAATTTCCGTGTAATTTTCTCGGTCGCCGGTGGGCAGTGGCGTGATGGCCGTCACCTGGTGCCGGACCGCCAACAAGTCTAGTATGGACTTCATGTACTGCCAGTGGCTTTTACTTCCATACGATTCTATCGCCAATATTCGCGCCCCGAAGATGATCCTAGGATACGATTGCACGGCTAGCAACGCTAGCAGCAGTAACAAGTTCATCCTAAACACAATATTACATAAATGTATCTATTAGATTTGAGTGTAGCAAATGAAGTCTCATCTACTGTATTTACTATGATGTGTATGTGTGTTTTTTCTGTCTGTAATCAACATTTATGTTAATAAAAATCAACCGATTTTTACCAAAAATTTTTTTTAAAAATCGGAATTTATACGTAAAACTAATTTTTGAAAAAAATAAAAATATTGTAGTTTTGGTGTTACCCAAAAACTTATAATCGCAGACAATTGAAAATTTCACCGAATACATTAATTGATTTATACAATTTTACTATTTTAAGCCATTTATAGGCTTGATAATGTTTACGAATTTTACAAATTTTTTTGAAATACTAGTGGTAGATAAATATTTTTCACTAAGTAAACAACCTTCAAAATTTAATGCAAGGGTTCTTATAAAGTACTTCAATGGTAGTTCAAAAATATTAAAGCTTTATTGGCATGGTTTTATTTTTATATGCATTCTATGAATAAAAAAGTTTATTGATTTAGATAAAGAATGTGGCTTTAAAGATTATATAATAATTATGTTTTTATATAAAACAGCTAGGTACTGTGTTATAAAATGTATGATTTTGTTTGATTACATAATAGAAGTTTTAATTCAGATATAGATCATATTTTCAATACAATGGTTTTTTTTTTTTTTTGTACAATCTATAGTAAAATAGTTGTTTAAATTTTAAATTTTATATTTCTTTTGATAAAGTGAATCTAGTTGGTAGATGAGAGTTCAAAATTGAAAATTTACAGTCCTTTTCTAAAATTATGGGAAGAACAATATAGAAATACATTAAACAAGAATTTTTACTCAAAACAATTTTTTTTAAATCGATATTTTATTTTCTTAAAATTCAAAAACGAATAATTCAAATAAAAATTATAAAAAAAATTAAATTAAAGTAGTAGCACACTAGCACATAACATTTTAATTGTCGATTGATATACTATATTTTAATAAAAAACTAGAATAAATTGTATTGTTTAATATTGATAGTTAAAAAAACGAGTATGATAATATCAATTAAACATTTTTTTTCTTTAACAAAAAACCAATTAATTCTATTGGTAGATTATTAAAAAAATAAATACATACATAATATATACACATGTAATGTATATACGTGTTTATGTACTAACCTTAGTTTTACAGATCCCAAAGAAATACATAAATCAATTATGAACTGTAGTATATTGAACAAAATACTTGTTCGGTAGAGTACAAACGAATGTCAAAATAGTTAATAATATGACTTGAAAAGAATCATAAAACGTAAATAGTGTAGGTAAATACTAAGTACCTACATAAGATAAAAACAATTAACCAATAAACGTGCAAATCTTAGTAGAAATCTAATATAGATAACATTCTGTGTATATGTATTAATTCACTGCAACTAACAAAAATGCAGGTCGATGAACCTAAAACCACTATCACAATACTGGCATTAATATATATTTTCAATAACATATAATTAGAACAAACCTATTTTTTTTCATTCAATTGAAATTGCAAAGTATAAATAACTTTTGCCTCAATGTACATAATGTATGAAATAAACAAAATTTATTACCCATATACAATTGAACGAAAATTTACTTAACTCACTAAATTATTAAATTGTTGATGGAACATTAAATATTAGATTATTTTATTCAAAATCATAATATGATTCTATATCTATGTTATCA